GGATTGACATTCCAACTTCTGTTGGGATCAAAGCCGTTAGCGAGTATCTTACGGACTCAGAAGAACAAATCCGTCATATATCCTGTTTTCAGTTATGGTGCGATAAATTTGTTGCTGTTAACTCTAAAATTCATGAAAAAACCAGTGAACGGAGCAGTATAGTCGGACGGGACCGACCATATGATACCCTACAACACTTCCACGAAACTATAACTTTCTGTGGTTCTATATTCTGAGCTTGGGTAATATTTCGCAATATTTGCACCCTCTTGACCGACTAGAAGTCAACAAATATTAAAAATATTCAGTACAGCCCTTCTATTCACTTGTCCAGATTCCCTTCACCGTGGTTTGTGATGTGATGTTCGGCTTTCAATTTTGGCCTATAGATCGACTCGAAAAAAAAACACCATAAAATACATTTTTGGGCCACTTCATCCCAAAATTATTATCTGATCATCACCGAAAATTATAGGCGTTCTCGGTGACCATAACTTGGACTAAATAATATATGAATATGAATATATGGGTTACTAAATAATATATGAATACGTAAGCACCTGTAAATATTTATGTGTAAGTCCCGCATCCAAGTACATACGACAATTGGTATCAATTTAAAGGTCAACCACTCCTCTTGAACGTACTATCAACTTCTCGAGCCTAGGACCTTCAGATGCAAATGTATACCCCATAGAATACAAATTTTGTCATTTTTCACACAAAAGTTAGGGTCCATTTAACCCGCTAAATATTGACCGATCATTATCAAAACAGGCATGCTTATTCTTTGGCCCGATCCCCTTCTCCATGCAAAAATTCGCGGTGTTTGGGCCATAATTGCGGCCTCTGGAGCGACCAGAAAAACCGACAAAAATAAAGTTTATGGTCCATTTCATCCCCTAAATATTAACCGTAAGGAAAGTAGAAAAGTCAGAATGGGCCGACTATATGAAACCACTTTGTATATTTTACATATGTATCCTAACAATTTCATGTCAATGTGATATTTATGCCGCAATGTTCAATATCGGAACTATATTTAAATCTATACCGAAAATTAGCACAGATCATACTATACTTAATTCAGTACGCTATATGGGAGCTATAACTAAATCAGAACCGGAACATAACACACATCATTCTAGATTTAATTTAGTGCGCTGTGCCAAATTTTGTCCAAATCGAAACATATACAGAGACTTCACTACACCATTTACATAAAATCGGAAGAAAATATATGTGGGAGCTATATCTAAATGTGAACCGATTTTTCTCAATTTCAATGGGGTTCGTCTTCGGTCAAAAAAGTGAGATGTGCCAATTATTAATTTTTCAATATTTTTATACCCGCCCGATTCGTTACCACCTAATACAAATAATCTATTTGCCACATACCCATAGGCTGTGACGCGTTATGGATTATGAATTCAAGCGTAATGGCTGTTAGCGATTACGGTTAGTTACCTGTCAAACGCCGTTCAACAGTTATTTTCTTGGGGACCCATTTATTCTTTTTTTTTTTTTTTTTGCCACAATTTACTTGCCTTCTACTCTTTGCTGTCTCCTTCTGTCTCTTTGGCCTTTGGATGCAAACGAAAAAACCCTCAACTTTAAAATTATAAATAAAATATTAATTCAAATAACCCTCAGTCATGTAAATCTGTATTTTTTTCATTCATGGTAGTAGTAAAACTTCTACTTTGTCATGCCGCGTTAATTTCTTGATTGCAAAACTTTTGAATTTCTTGAGAATCCCAAAGGTTATTCACCCCGTTCATATGGAGGGCCATTGTTTACATATGAAATTTGGCATATCATTCATCTGTCAACACTGAAATCCATTATTTATGTCGGGTATGCTTTTGGGCGGATATGAAACACTTCAGACGGTGGTTAGGCGTTAAAATGGGACTCATTTCAATTTTTGTGCTTTCTTTGTATAAAAGTACGAATGAGATAATCTGTGTCTGATTTGATTACATAATTTGAAATACATACGTATAAAGATTTTCAGAACAACATGGGTGTGTATTACTACATATGTATGTTGGATATTAAATTATGTTGTTGCTTTTACGTGGATTTTATTAAGGTTCAGTTCAGATTTTTGTTGTGGGTGATGATCAAAGATAATTTGTTTGGGGCCAAAACTGACATCATTCTTTGTTTTCTCAGTCGAAACTAAATTAAATGATCTGATATCATAAAATTAAAATATATTATATCCCTCATGTACGGATTTCCTCTATGATTAGTAATGTTCTTAGTTTTCAAATGGTCTACATATAAGTTTAATCTGTTGATTGAAACCGGCTGAAAATCGGATTTCTAATCGTGTTCTGTCTCCCACGAACAAACTGGCTTAACGTGTTTAGCATAATGATAACTATTTATGGTTAATATTTCCGACAAATAATTTTTTTTCAAAATTTACAATTTATTTATTAGTGCTCATAGATATTAGATTTTCTAATCAAGGATCGGGTTAAAGTAGAAAAGGGCGATGAAAACTTACGAATATCCATTTACTTTGAGGGTTTTCCAGTGGTATTTAGTCTACGATTCAGGAAAGTGAGGACCAAAAAGGCGCACAAGGACTCGATATAAAAATCGCAATAAAAAGTTCCAATACGGAGGTCCTTTAACAAGTGAAAACAATGTTAAGTTCGGCCCGGCCGAACACTTTATACCCTCCACCATGAGAATGACAATCAAAATATCTAAAACTAATGGGGGCTCCTAAGAGAGAAAACTCATGTTATGATAGGACCTCAAACATGGCGTAAACTACGTTAGAAAAATATGATTAACATTCTCAAAATAAGGGGTACCCAAAATACCAAATTATAGAAATTTCGTTTGGAAAACTTGTCCGAATATTAGGAGTATCATATGGGTGATACCCTGAAACTTGGACCATTATTAACCCAAAATACTAAATTAAGACCAATACGGTTTGAAAACCTGACCAAAATACCCAAAATACCGAGTATTGGGGAATACTGTTATATGGGGACTACCCCGAAACTCAATGTAAAAATAATTTTTGGTACGTATATTTGCTATACAATGGGAACCCAAATACCAAATTACAGCCAATTCGGTTGGAAAAAGTGTCAGTTACCGTTATATGGGGGCTACACCAAAACGTGGACCGATATATCCCATTTGCAATACCAAACATCAGATCTATATCTTAAATATAACGATCTCTATCGCGATTTCAACAGACGGACAGTCACCGTTACATGGGGGCTACACCAATACGTGGACCGATATATCCCATTTGCAATACAAAACATCAGATCTCTATCTTAAATATAACGATCTCTATCGTGATTTCAACAGGCGGACAGACATAGAATTTTATTCTGATATATATTTTGTAGGGTATGCGCTGAATATTTCGAGGTGTTGTTAATTTTAAGCTTTTGGAGTAGTCAATGTAATGAAGTTTTTGGAATCGCTCATGGCCCTTTGGGCTAGGTTCTCGTTTATGAAATAAATAAATTGAAATTAAATTGAACCTATAAATGTGTCCTTAACATTTCAGATGAAAATCTCAACTTCTCTTTAAGATATATCCGATTTATTGTGTCAGCACCAAGCGACGGCATGAGTGTCACAGTCACATTATATATACACCTAATTCTGTTTTTACACGATAGAATGGTTCCCGAGAAATTCGTGTAAAAAAAAAATCGTGTAAAAAAAGATACTGGCCAAGTACAAAAATAATAGATTGGTTCTAGACCTCAAAAAATAAGTTAAAATTAGACTTAAAATAATATAATAAAAAAAATATTGTTGTAGTTATTTTAAGAATTTATTTTCGTTTTAATATATTAAATAAACTAAATTATAATAAAATAAATTAAAATTTAGATTTCATAAAAATAATAACAGAAATTCATTGCCAAAAAACTTAAATAGCATAAAGTACAACCATAAGAAAAATTTAAACATTAAACAATTTTATTTATTGTCACTGTCTGATAATAAACGTAAACGTTTGCGAAAGACTACAATATCACTGCCATCACTGGAATGATTTTGTTGATCATTATCATTTCTAGCCGACTGTGTTGGGACATCAGTAGATTTTTGAACGAAATCAGTTATCTTAGATTGAGTTTTATTTCGCGTTAACCCATTATAAACTTCCCTGTAAGATGCCATTAATGATTTCAGTTCATGTTGAAATTTGGCATCTCGTTCCTCGTCATGATCATGTTGTTCAAAATGACTACCTAATTTTGTAGCGTTTTACGCATTCTGGCCAAATATTTTTCCAACACGAGTTCAAAGTTGATGGTTTTAATAAATCTAACGCGATCTTGACTTGATTAATGCAGTCCATTATAGAAAAATTTTTCCATTCATCTATGACTGATGATTCCTCATAATTATCAACTTTTTTCTAAAACATAATGAAATGAACTTCTTATGTAATACGTTTTAAACGTAGCAATTATCCTCTGGTCTAGTGGCTGTATAAGGGAAGTGGTATTAGGCGGCAAAAAACAAAATTGTACGTTTGGGTAGTCCAAAACTGGATGGCCTGGTGCATTGTCTAGAATCAAAAGAACTTTAAATTCGAGACATGCTTCTTTCATGTAGCGCCTAACTTCTGGGATGAAGTGCTTCTGAAACCACTCTGAGAAAATTGCACTGGTTACCCAAGCCTTTTTGTTCGCCATCCAGTGTACAGGCAATTTATTGAAATCTACACTTTTCATGGAACGTGGTCTTAAGGCACGATGTACTAGGAGTGGCTTAATACGTTCTCCTGAAGCATTGGAACAAAACAACAACGTAATACGGTCCTTTGCTACTTTAAAACCACCGGCTGTTTTCTGCGATTTTGCTACATAAGTTCTTCTAGGCATTCTCTTCCAAAAAATGCCGCTTTCATCTAAATTCCAAACTTGGTCTGGAGTATATTCTCCATCTTCAATAATTTTTTTTAGTTTTTCGGGAAATTCTTTAGCAGCCAATTAATCAGCGGATGCAGTTTCTCCCTTAATTTTTATATTGTGGAGAGCGTGTCTTTTTAAAAAACCAGTCATCCAACCAGTACTTGCGGAAAATGCATGTTGTTTTGACTGAGATGATGTATCTGGATCAATTTCCTGGATACGTTTATAGATTCTTAATGCTGTCTGCTTGATAGCAAGTCCGTCTACTGGTATTCTCTTTTGGGATTTGTCTTCTATCCAGATTACCAAAGCTTTTTCCATTTTCTCTTTAACAACATCCCTTGCATACAATGATGACCAGGGATGGTCCGTGTGACGAATTTTTAGGTTTTCGACTGTCAAAAAGGTGTAAACGTCGAAAACGTCATATACCTGTATAAAATGTAAAAAATGTAGTAAACGTCATTTATTTCAATATTATCACCATATACAGTTATTTTCAAGAATATATATTATTCCTTACTAGAACTTATACAAATTTCTAACCTTTTATGAGAAGAAATTTTTGAAATTTTATATGAATTTGAGTAAATCATACGTAATTTCCAAATTTATTAATTGAAATAGCTGTTTTGTCAAAAACCTAATGGTTTTGGGTATGTTTCCGACGTCTCTGACGTATCTATTATACGTCGGAAATGTATGTCATTTACGTCAATGTTTCTGACAGACCATCTCTGATGATGACTTTGCACTTAATTTTGTTCCAGAACATACTGATGCTCTAATTGCAGTTTCATTTTTTTTAATTGTTCTTACAGTAGCTTCATGGATTCCGAAATTATTTCCCACAACCGTTGCGCCTTGTCCCGTTGCAAGTTGATCTAAAATTTTGATTTTGGTATCTAAGCTGATCGCTTTCCTCATTTTTAATGCAGGAGAATTATGTAACATGGGTGTGGCTACCAAAATATATTTTATTAATCAAAAATGCAAAAATCTAAAATTAAATATTTGAAACTAACCTGTTATTGGTCTACCAAAATTATATGAGCTTCTACTTTATTTTACTTGTTAAAAATCAGCAAAAATTAACGATCTTTCAATTATAATTGTCAAATAGGAACTAAATTGCGTGTACAATACATTATGTACATTTTTACTTTTTCCATTTTCTTCAATAAATAAATAGTTCATGTAAAAAAAGTAATTTTGTTTTTTTTTTTTGTATTCGGGTTATTTCAAATTATGTCGTGTAAAAATAGAAATATTTTTTCGTATTTTTTTTTTTGAAAATCAAATTAAATTAATCGAAAATGGTGGATCAAACTTAAGAAAAATTAAATATTTTATTTTCTAGAAGTATTTAAAACAAAAAACATGCTTTAAGTATTAAGGACTTAAAATTATGGCACTCCTTAATTAAATTTGAAATTTCCACAATTTTGTTGAAAACGTGATAAAAATGCTTAAAATACAAAATAAGGAGGGATCCGCTTATATGGGGTACGAAGATTTCACATCCAACGAGAATTAAAAATACTAAAAAGGGCGTCAATTTGGTTGGAAAACGCACAAAAAATTCAAAAAAAAAAAAAACAAAATTGGGAGGTAAACTTATATGGGTGCTACCCCAGATAGTGGACCAAAATTGATCATTTTTGGTAAGAATATGTGCTGCACAACGTGAGCCCAAAAATTACAGCCAATTGGGCTGAAGGTGAGACTACAATCTTTCAAACTTATCATTAGCATGCTATATTATTAATTTTCAATTGTGATGTTTTATAAGTTTTTTTTCATTGCCATTATTTTTAAAATAATGGCAATAACGCTTAAGTTTATGAACGGTCGCAAAATTCTGGATAGAGAACATATTAAGGCGTCGATTGGTGTTATAACCATTAAAATATCTTCGGATACCGCTGGAACTCAAGTCAAATTTATGAGTTTTATGTACGAAATTTTTGATGATTATCTTCTAATTACTAATAATTTTCACTTTCATTATAATCACCAGTTCCATCTCTTTAATGTACCGTCATATACATATTTTGACACATCTCAAGGTTATAAAACATGTTTATTCAGAAAAATATGAAATTTTTTGAAACCGCGACCCATAGTGCTAAAAGAAATTGCTGATGTAAAGCTCGAAGTCCCCTGAGCTTTACATCAGTAATATTTCCTCTCTACATCATCATAACATTTTTTCCTCTCTGCCCGAAATGAAACTTTTGCCAAAATATTGGATTTCTGATCCTTGGTGTGTTCCAGCGATCGGCATTACGTCCGCCATCGAAAAGGAGGACTTTTCTCTAATTACAAAAACAGAAAAAAACAACATACATGTATGCAAAGTTCAAAATGTTTAAAATATTGTACGCTCATTTGTCAGCCATTTGAAAATTTTCGAAATTGGAAATCGAAAATGGGTGTGGTCCCCCTAAGATATTAAACTTCAAAAGGTTCTAACGCTACCAAATATTGGTCCTAGAGCGTCATATCTCTAGTAACTGCTTCATTCTTGATATGTGTCCATTATAATAAATATGCCTATCGGTCGGCAAAAAAAAAAAAAAATATATAAAATGTTCACTTTTAAACCACATGTTTTGACAAAGTTTTACACGTCTGCGGTCAAAAAAGGAGCTTCTATTAACAAAAAACAAAAAGGCGTAACTAACAAAAAATTCAAATTTTTACTTAATTGTTATGACTGTCATTAAACTAAATAACTAAATTTGTTAAAAAAATTATAGTCTATTATTTGTCATATGCAATATCACCCTGTCGGGCATACTTTTTTTGACATGTTTATAGTTTTCATTCAAAACAGTTTTTTTTTGCTTCTCCTACACAATTATGCTTTTGTTAGTTACGACTTTTTGCATTTTAGCTAACGATATGTGGTCGGATATACTAAAAAATTTGGGATAATCTTCGGGAAGATTTGCAAATAAATCCACTAAAATTGAAATAAAGTGTTAGTTGGGTAGGGCATTATGTGATGGGCTTCAATCGACAATCAGCTCAGATATCGGGTTATTAATTTTGAAAGGGCTCTGCCTTATATCATCCGAGTTTCTGTAAATGATGTCGTCAAAAAATAACCCCAAAGAAAGTTACAGCTATACGCAGCAGATGAGGCCTCTTGCCTTCTTCCATAATAATTATTTTATCTCATGATGACACTCAAGTTAAGATTTCAAGGTCAAGTTATATTTATTTATTTTTCAACTTTACCATAGCAGTAATAAAAATAATCTTGTTACTTATCATCACATTATTTTTAATTTGTTAATAACACTGTGATACAAAACAAAACTAAAATTTTTTTCAGGAGTTCTAATGTACCAATTCTGTTTAGTCGGAGTCCCTGGACCACGAATATACCTTTGGTTTTTCTGGGTCACTTCGAAAATTTGTTTTATAACGGTAAATGTAGGAAAAAACGTGGTTCCATAGATTTTCACTTTGAAACGCATATAACTTCTTTCTTTCTAACGGATTTATATTATTCTTTTTTTTCATTCGAAGAGTAGAATTTTATCTTTCAAACAAGATATATATTTGGTAAATCGGTTGAGGATTGGCTGAATTACAGCGGTTGAAATGTGAAAAAATACGCATAAAATGGCAAAATTTATTTTTCTTCGGACTGTACGATGAAATTATGATATCAAGCCATATAAGTTTTATTATATTATGGGGAAGAAAATTAAATTAGCTTTCGAAAATGATAAAAATCAAAAAAAATCGGTTAAAAAATGGATGACTTATACACATTTTTGTATTGATTCTATGCATATTCTCTAAAGGAAATATGGGTCTGTATCGTTTCCTTTTACAAACCGTTATGTTTGTAACAGGCAAAAGGAAATGAGATAGACCCATATTTCCTTTAGAGAATATGCATAGAATCAATACAAAAATGTGTATAAGTCATCCATTTTTTAACCGATTTTTTTGATTTTTATCATTTTCGAAAGCTAATTTAATTTTCTTCCCCGTAATATAATAAAACTTATATGGTTTGATATCATAATTTCATCGTACAGTCCGAAGAAAAATAAATTTTGTAATTTTATGCGTATTTTTTCACATTTCAACCGCTGTAACTCAGTCAATCCTCAACCGATTTACCAAATATATATCTTGTTTGAAAGGAAAAATTGTACTCTTCGAAAGAAAAAAAAAATAATATAAATCCGTTATAAAGTAAATAAGTTATTCAAGTTTCAAATGGAAAGTCCATGAAACCACGATTTTCTCTATATTTACCGTTATAAAATTAATTTTCGAAGTGACCCAGAAAAACCAAAGGTATTTTCGTGATCCAGGGACTCCAACTAAACAGAATTGGTACATTAGAACCCCTGAAAAATTTTCGTGTCGCACAGTGTAATTGTTACTCGAGTAAAAAAAATATACAATAACAAAAAATTCAACTATGATACTGCTAATTTTTTCCCTACAATGAAAGAGCAAATATAAAAAATTACAAAAACATTAAAAAAAAACAACCACAGCATTTGCAAAAGCAACCTCAGCCATCCGTCAAATATAATAATTATAATATCAACTTAAAATTTGTGTTTATTTATCATTGACATTTTTTTTTTTTTTTTAATTTTCAATTTGATGAGTAAGGGTGGAAGGTAAAGCAGGTTACAATGTAATTTTATACATGATTGATTTTAAAATTGAAATCTTGTTGTTACAGTGTTGTTTGTTTCTTGCGCTTTTATTTTTTTATTTATTTCTTTATTTATTTATTTTTTTTTTTTTTTTTTGTATTTGGTCTCGCCCGACCATCCCTCTCATTGGTCACCCACATACATTGACATACATTTCAATCAAGCTAAAAATAATGAGGTTAATACCTTTACTGATTATAAAATAATATAAACAGAAAAAGTAAATCATATATACCAAACTTAATTGTCATTAAATACATTAAATAAAAACTGAAGTCATCGGTGATTGTTCAACTGAAAATCCCCCTGTTTGTCCAACACAAAATACTTTTTGGTCTAGCAATTAAATTCCATTTGCATTGTTCTAATTTAACAATGTAATTAATTATATACTATTGTATTATTTTGTATGAATGGAGAGTACAATGGTGCAGATTTTTAAAATACATCCGTTACTAAAACATTAAAATGTATGAGAAGTGAGTCATTCAAATTATGTTGTACACCTGATGTTTATTGAGCAAAATATCGTAGTAACGAATAAATTTTATTAACGAGATATATTTATGGGAATCATTTCAGATGGATCCGATTATTACTATTATTATTATTTTTTTATACCCTTCACCACACTGTGGTACAGGGTATTATGTCTTTGTGCATATGTTTGTAACAGGCAAAAGGAAACGAGATAGACACAGGGTTCCTTTTGGGAATATGCATAGAATCACTTTTTAAGTCGATTTATGCATGTCCTTCCGACCATGCGTCTGTATGTACATGTTCCGAATTGGATGAAATTTGGCATACGTCACTTATTCGGCCCAGGGACGAACCCTATTGAAATTGGGAAAAAATCGGTTCAGATTTAGATATAGCTCCCGTATATATTTTCGTCCGATTTGAGATAAATGGTGCACCAAAGTCCCTAAATATCTTTCGATTTGCACGAAATTTGCCACAGCGTACGAAATTAAGCCTAGAATGACGCGTGCTAAGCTTCATGAAAATCGGTTCAGATTTGTATATAGCTCCCATATATATTTTCGTCCGATTTAAGGTAAATGGTCCAACAAAGTCCCTAAATATCTTTCGATTTGCACGAAGTTTGGCACAGCGTACTGAATTAAGCCTAGAATGATGTGTGCTAAGTTTCGTGAAAATCGGGTCAGATTTTGATATAGCTCCCATATATATTTTCGTCCGATTTAAGGTAAATGGTGCACC